TTCTATCCTTTTCTTTTCTAGGAACTGCGGTGCAAGCTTCAACTCGTCGATGGTCCGGACTCTTCTCAAGGTCTTCTTGGTCTTCTGATGAATCCCCTTCACCGTAAGGTCCAGCATCTGAGAGTCTTCCTTCCTTATCAGCCTGCCTCCAACAGTCTCGATGACCAGTTCCTCCTTTCTTCCTTGAGCGCCGATTTCTTCTGCTACCTTCTGGTCTAGCAGCGACACTGTTGACCCTTCATCCATGAGGGCCAATATCTTCTTTGATCCTTTTGACCCGAAGATTTCTATCGGAATTATCTTCAGGTATGCCCTTGCGTTGTTGACCGCATTCACCGATGCCATGATGTTCGCCACTTCTTGTGGTTTGTTCTTCTGTTCTTCCGAGGAACTTTTCTCTGTCTCGACGTGCAGCAGATGATGATGCCACCTCTTGCATTCCTTGCACGACGGCTTCTTGCAGCTCTCCTTCCGATGTGTCCCTTGTAAACACTTGAAGCAAACGCGGCTTTTCTTCACTATTGCCCATCGATCTTGCACAGACGCCTTCAGGAACTTCTGACACCCGACGAGGAAGTGTTCACCCTCACACATGGGGCAAGTCTTCTCTGATCTTGAAACCTTTTCTTTGAAGTCCTTTTCCTTAGTTGAATGCGTTGCTTGTCGATGAGTCCGTCTGAATCCGCTCTTCTCTTCTGTTGATGCATAGGCTCCACACTTGTCTGCTTCTCTGTTCAGGAACTTGGACACCAGTGTTAGGTCGGAGAACTCGCCTTCTTCTGTTGTTTCAATGAAGTCGTACCATCGGAACTTGAGGATCGTAGGCATCTTCTCAATAATTTGTTTCACCATCTCAGGTGAATGCAGGTACTGTGGTTTCTTCAATCCTTTTATTGCCGCTACGCTGTTGCTGATCTGGCTCGCGAAGAGGCATATGTCCCTTGGGTTTTCAGAAATCTTCGGCAACGTTTTGACCTTGTCCAACTCTGCCAGCACCAGTGCATCTGGTCTTCCATATCTTCTTCTGAGGGCTTGAATCACTTCCATCGGAGAGGCTTCGGAGTACAGCAGACTCTTGATAGCTTCTCTTGCGTTGCCCTTCAGTGCTCTTCTTAGCCGAGCCATATTCTGGACGTTGTTGAACATCGGTGCTGTATCTTCATAGACAACCTTGAAGGCCATCCACTCGCTGCTGTTGCCGTCGAAGTAGGGTAACTCGTGAATGTAGGTTGGCTGTCCTGCTGGTCCTCGCGTGGTAAGAGCTTCCTTCAATGCTGCCGTCAGTGCTTGAATTTCAATCGTAGCTCCTCTCGTTGAGGAGTTCTCTTCAGGCTTCATCTTCTGTGGCTCTTCCAAGGGGTGTGGACCTCGCATCTCTGGTTGAACTTTGTTGCCATCCTCCAGCACAGACGTCTCGATCCAGTTCTGCACCTGTGCTGTTCTGTCTTCCAGGTCTTCATCCACGGAGTCCTCTTCTTCACACTGTGCCATCTCCAATCTGACACGGGCTAGCTTAGTTTCAGCCTGTGCTTGCTTCAACTCCAGGCGTGCCAACTCTTCCTTTGCTTCTAGCTCGCGTCTTCTGGCCGAGGAACTCGTGGTCTTCGTGGACCTGGCGCGACGACTGACCCCCATCGGTTTCAGGGTCTTGGAGGAGCTTTGAACATCCTTTCCAGGTACATCTTCTTGGCTCTTCCTGGTCATCCTCTGTGCAGCATCTTCTTTGTTGCCTTCCATAGACGCCGCCGTAGTTGCAGTCGTAACCGTAGTCTCCGTCACTTTGGTGCCCTCCGTGGTCGTGGTACCCGAAGAAGTGTTCGATGTAGTTGTAGTTCCCGATGACGCCGACGCTGACGTGACCCCTTCTGATCCCGACGTTCCATCTGTCGCGTCCCTATCTGAAGGACGGGACCCGGGACGTGAGGGGGCATCCTTCTGCGACCTGGTTACCGGCATCTTGAACGCAATCTTCTGTTTCTTCTAATCTTCTTCTAGCAGGGATCCGGCTCGAAGGACCAACTGTTTCGGACGACCAGAACCAGGGTATGTCTAGTACCCGGAGGTCGACCTGGGACAATCTCCCAGACGTTCTTGGCGTACACGGCAGTATGTCCGTTCGCTGGTAATGTACGCCACCACGCACCCCTGAATGCGTAGCTTGGGTCCCGATCCACTAGGGTTTCTTCGTTGACAGGAGACTATACTTAGAGGCGATGAAATAAAAACACAATTTTTCCTTTTTTTTTTTTCTCTTGGTTTCGGTTCTTCCTTTTCCTTTTAGTTGTTGCCTCTTCGGTGGCTGTCTTGCGACTGACTCGAATCGAGAAATGGCTCGCCTTTTATTTGGCCCGTTAATACCTTACAGAGAGCCGCGTACTTTGAGCTCGTTTTTCGAATAAAATTTCCCTAAACCGAAACCTTGAGAGTCCTTTTATTTTACGTTTTCAGTAAAACACCTTACACATATTTATTTATTTACATGCCTTACATACTATTATACAATATTAAAACATAATATTCAATATATAATAATTAATTAAAAAAGTCTTAAAACAAAAATATCTAAATTTCTAGGTTGCTACATTTTTACTATACATTTTCCCTTATAACTTTTGAACGGATAGTCCTATCGACCTAATTCTTGTTTTATTATAAGTTTTATAATAAAATCTATTATTTAAAACATAAACTATTATGCTATTGCAAGAAACAAAAAATCTCATTTTCAAGTTACGTAATTATATGCTAACATTTTACTTACGTACCTATTCCTTTCAAATTAATGTTAAATAGTCTTATATGATTCAAATAAGCAAAAAATACTCTAAACTAACCTTATTACACTAATTAGAACTTATTTTAACATAATAAATCTAATAAGAATGAGATTTCATATTTACAACAATTATTCATAATACGCTAAAATGACATTGTCCCTATATTAATACACACGTTACTCGAAGATAAGTTTTCCGTCGCCGACACCTAACTAATAACAAATTAAGTAAGTACATTTACCACATAGTTTTAACATACTACGTTACAATTTTCTAAAGGGTTAATATCATATAAAGGAATGTGTATATGCTAGGGAATGTTTAATTAACGCTGTGATATCTCACAACGACGCACTTGACGTCATAGTTGGCTTACACTTTTATGTAGATATGTTGAAATTATAATTATGTATAATGTATATATACGTCTATATATTTTAATATACAAAAGATATATAAAAAAGACTCATTTTTTAATCCCTGAATATCTTCTATCCGTTATGTAGTAATCCCAAAAACATTTTTGTGCTCAACTACTTCTAATCAGATAGTTTGCTATTAACAGTATTACGTCAAGAATTGTATACGTTACAATGTTTATATATATATATATATATGTATATATATATAAACATTATATCACATATATACACTTTACGGTTTTACACTAGCAAAAATGACATTGTACTTAAATAAAGCTTAAAGCTTAGCTTCGAACAAATTTTATACAGCTTCAATATTTATGCTTCGGTTGTAATAGAATACTAATTGTGAATAAATTGGCGCAACAGGCTTCAGAAAAGCGAGCAATCTCTCATGACACCGCCACGCGAACGATCTCATAGATTTCTCTCTTGGCGGAGAATTAGCGCGAAAGCCACGACAATTATTTACGAGGTTTTCGCAGCAGAATTACAGTTCGCAGCGCTACCGCAGCCTTTTATGTTTATTCGCGGGTTATTATTTCAGAGCGGAGAGATTATTTGAAAACGTAAACGTAGGTGCTCCCATATATCACGCGGCCGCACTCCGGTGGCGGTTGCGAAAGTAATCGCGGCAAACATGTTGGAAATTATCCCCAACGTTCGCTTGCACGGGATGAGCTAACTCGTTTGCATGCACATATAGAATGCATTATGGCTTGGATTTATGTCGGGCGCACATTCTACGTTCGCTGGTAGCTACTACGTGATGTATTGTTAAATTATGAAAATCACAACGGTTCTTTAAAGACTGATAGATAGATATAGGAACATAATTATTTTTATTATTATGATTGTGTTATATTGGTGATAAGGAAAATGGAGGATGTGACGCTCGTAAACATAAATAAACTGCTAGTAGGTGAATATTGCCTGTCAGGAATAATAAACGAGGGCCATTACTACGTTCGAAATGAGTCGTTTCATGAAACGCGAATGATCAAGTGTCAAATAGCGACTATTAAATTTGGATAACGCAGCTTACGTTTATATTTCGCACGTAATCCCCTCGTCGTCGTGTAAAATACGGGCCGTTAGTAAATATTAAAGTCCGGTATAATTTCGCCTCTGTCACTGTCATAAATATTGTCCAGAGATTTTCATATTAATTGCAACTCTACTAGAACGCCTTTGTAGGCATGAATTTAAATTTAATGACCCTTACGTGCGTATCGAACCATGTGGGTGTCGAAATGCTTATTTTTGTGAGTTAAAAGTGCTCGTTAATAACACGTAACTATGATTTCAAATAAATTATAAATCACTTAGCTAATTAATTACTCGTCGCTATCTTTAAAGTAAAAACAGCGATGTTTTTCCTTAGTTCTGTTGTTATTCTGTCACTATATTAGATGAATTTTATATTTATTTACATAATTTTAAGCAAAAAATATATAATATAGCAACATTTCATAAATAAATCAATAATATTTTTGATATTTTTGGCGAAGTGACTCTAAAATGTATGTTATATTATAAGGTGCTATGAGATCAATCAGTATGTAAATATGTGAGGTAGGTGAACGATCTGGTATGAGTGGGTGCGAGTCTGCGCGGCGCGGCAGCCTCCGGCGCAGTTTGCGCCCGTGCGCACCTATCTACTGTACTAATTCTAATCTCTATCCTATCTTTCTATCGAGTGACGCGAATTAATACTCACTGTACATTCTTAATAAGTAAAACAAACCGATACTTAACTCGTTTCGTATTAATTCTCAGTGGTTATTTATATTAAACCGTCATGTGGGCAGCAACATTAATATTGTTGGCACTCTCGCTGGACGTCGTCAACATGGACGTGCAATTATCGGAGCGCGCGAGGGTTCCCAACAGACATCAGCCTCGCACATCTGCTTGTAACACAAGTGTCACTTACGACAAGGTTTTATTAAAAGAAGTGACCTTACGCTCAACCTATGTATTCACTGGCAAAGTTTTCGGAGTAAATTTTGCGAATAAAACACGCATATATAGAGTGATTATACGTAGAGTGTTGAAAGGCGACTTGAGTGATATAGGTGTAAATGTAACTTTTGGTAGGGCGAAATCATTAAGATTTAGTGATGCCACAATTTTAGTGCAAAGTGTCAAACCTTTCAAATGTCCTCCCTTGCGTTTGCGAACTTACGCTATATTCTTGACTGAAAGGAAACATACAGCACTCTCGTTGTATTTAGTGATGGAACCTGTTTTGTTAACGCTACGAAACATTGATATAATCGAAGCAGCGATAAAAGGTAAGGTAACAAGTTATTCCGAGCATTGCAATTAGCAAGTTCCAATTAAATCTATACCGTCATTAGTTTTAAAATGTAAATTGTATAGATGACAGTTTTATAATACAAACCTAATTTTTGAAAAAGTTTAAAGTAATTTTGGCGTAGTAACAGCTTTTAGAAATATCTCTACAACTTGATAATGATAATACTAGACTTTATGACCTAGAAACTATGAAATTCCTTAAGTATGAGGAATAGGACGATGAAATTATTCCAGTATAAATTTTTGACTAATTAAAAAAGGTACCTACTTAATTCGGTCGGATGCTACGCGATAACTTCGCCATTTGTGAATCGATTTTCATAATTCTATTTGTAATGGATAGCTTAAGTATCGTCCTGTGTTAATTTTCAAATAATAAAAAAGATGAAATTATTACTTTTAAGAATTTTTGAAGTCGTAGTCGCACCTTAAAAAAGCGGAGTTCAAAAATTTAAACCCGGCTACTGAAAAAACACGCTCTAAGAAGTATGTAACAAAAAAATATTCTCATCTGGAATTATTATGTATAAACTATTCATTAATTATCGTTTATTAAATAAACAACTTATTTAATAAACGATAATTAATGAACAGTTCATAAAATATATTTAATGTATTTAATACATATTCATCACTATGAACATTACTATGTTCAGAGGATAGCCGTGGTGTGCCATTTTTCCAACTTTCAATCTCTTTTATCCAATTAATAGATGTGGGCACATAAATACACGCATTTATTTTATTTGCATTAATTTTAATGAAACATCTGTTTAAATACACAAGTAGAACTTCAGTTGTGGTTCTATAAAGAAATCGTCAACCACTAAAGCTTTCTAATAATAAGTAATAATTATGTAAATTAGTAATAACGAAAATAAATCCTAATTTATCATCTATTTATTCAAAATTTAATAAAATAAAACATAATAGGAAACTATAAACGTAAATAGACGCATTTCATTTGCCTGTATAGGTATTGCGTAAACAAGTAGGCGGCAATTAGTCGAGGCGGAGCGTCAGTCAGCGGTCCCATGACGGGAACTGATTGCGTTCGAGAAAGCTAACATTGAATATTACTGTTTTAAATTATTTGTTCTAATGGTTTGTAATATACTATCTTACCTTTGAGATATTTTTCTAAGAAAACAATGTAAAACATTTTTTATCATCTTATAATATTTATTTGTATACTATTTACTAGCTTTTACCCGCAGCTATGTACGTGTGATAAGTAGGGCAGGGAACAAAGTAGCTTTCCCAGGATGCAATTTATGTTCTTGCCAGTTTTTATCGAAATCTGTTCAGCTTAAGAGCTATTCGGTTTAAGCGTGAAAATGAAACAAACAGAGTTACTTCACATTTATAATATTAGGTATGGCGATAGTATGGATTATCTAGGTGAAATCAATGGAAGTAAAAATAGTGTACTTATTCATATTATTATTTCAAATGTCAATATGAACAATAAAATTGAAACAGAGCGCGAAGGTGGACATTTGCTCGGATGTATCGTGTTTATGCAAGCCATTTGTGTACTAGTCCACGTTATAAGTTAGATAACAACATACATGCCACAGTAATATTAAATTTTCTACTTCCATGTCTCCAGAACTTTCCCTCATGTTTTGAAGTTTTGTGTACCTGTGCGCCGCGCCACGAGATATTAATTTTATGAAAACCCAAAGTGAGCATTAAAGTTTTGTCAGCAAATGGAAGATTTGGACTTTTTAATATTATTTCCTACTTTTCGTGAAATTTTACATTTTATAGTCAACATTTATAGAAATTATATGCTATAACTAAACTGCTTACTATATGTAGAGACAATGAAGCACCATTTTCTTTATTATCTACATGAATACAGAAGAAAATAGAGTTATATAAGTAAAGAACGCCAAGAAAACCAACTGCACAATGAAATGTTAATGAGATGTATCTATTGAATAAATTCAAGGGAATAATAAACTAGAATTTATTAGCCGTCCTATCTGAGGTTACATAAACTAGATAATAAAAAAGTTAAGCATAATAAAACATTCTTATTTCAATAAATGTTTTCTTTTAGGTTCGTTTACGTTTATAGCGCGATCATCATGAAGAGTAAACTGGAATTCTGACAATGAGTTATTTGCCAAGTTATAAAAAAAAACAAGTCAAAGGAGTTTTATGTTTATTTCGGTCTTATATTTCACACGTCGCGCGTCGTTGCTGTTGAGATTATAAGAAAACATAAAATTTGCCGCACCATGTTTAATATTGCTAAGTTAAGAATATGATTCTGCCAAGATACTTTAAGTCGCGTTTTGTTATTGAAATATATATATTTTATTAATCAAAATATTAGTAAACGTAGACAGTTTAATGTCTAAACTTCGCAGGTCGTTAAAGTTGATGATCGAGTTCACTTCAACTTAGTAGAGCAACTATCGAGTTTAGATCCTTTGGGAAAACAACACCAACTAAAAGTTTTTGTTTCTCATCTCCTGGTGCATGCTACGCTGCTTCAGGGACCAATATTTTTATATATGAAGTTTTTTAATATAGTCTAAATTGTTCGGTTTTATTAAACGCCCCCGGTACTTTTAAATGGATTCGTAAATATTGCTTTATTAAGTGCTAGTAATTGACTTGTCTCCGGTTTAAGTGTTCGAAAAGTATCGATCGGAATGATGATTGAGCGAATTAATCGAGTATAAATCGGTCTTTCATAATTGTTTATATGGGATTAATTGTTCAGCTCCATTCGAATTGCCTTCGGCTGTGACTCGGCTCTCGTATATCACAGGCTCGACGTGCGATTCAATTAAAGTATCGACTGACAGTGGCCAACCAAATGCATAAAACTCTATAAAACAGTCTATCTGCGCTGTCATATCATATAATGTTGGGCGCTGCGGTCAGCGTGGTCTTTATTTGCGTTTTGAATTTTTGGCGTGCTTGATTTTTATCATGTTTATAAGCGTAATTAATTGCTTAATTATTAAAAAAATTAAGTTAATACATCTCAATGACATATCAGAATTAAATTGAAATAAGTTTACTCGAACCCCCGTACAAAATATTGCACTATATTTTATATAGAGTTACTTTTTTTTATTTTTAATTATCAACTATTCGCCAATAAGCAACAAAATAAATCTGTTAGGGACATTTCAATTAAGTTCCGTAGCATATGTTAATAAGTTAGTGACAAACATCTCATCAAGGGGCAGGTTGTTAAATCTCGTACAGATAATAAAGTGGACCGTATTTACGACACGCCAGCTAAGTTATAGGTCGATTCGATTAGCCCGATACAGAGTTTGCTGAAAGTGTTTGCGTCAGTTGAGCAACTTGTGTGTTTAGCTGAACCTCGATTACACAGGGCGTTGTATAAACATTTCATGTCATGTCACATCCGTGTTATGGGTAAATGAATATATTGTTGTTTTATATCGTCAGTATTATTGTAATAGTGCCCATGGAAACTATATACGACTATGAGTACTATATATACGAGTGAGCCTCAAATGAATATAGGCATTATGTGATTTTCCAAAATTTTATAACACGTAGAGTCGATCGATCTGATCAGATATTTATTGTTTCCAAATTTGATTTTGAAGTTCTAAGAATTTATTTATTACGATTTTCAAGGCATAAAATATAATAACATGAGTACTCAAAACGGAAGAGGCCTTTTGTAATGAATCTATTATGTTATAATGATACTTGTTGGCATTATCCTAAAACAACAACCGAGCGAGTCTCTTCTACAGTTAGAGATTCCTTAATCGACATTACATAGTTTATTGTAGTGCAGCTAACTTTAGACTAGAGCTTAAGTTTACTTGGCGTTTAGCGTCTAACTTCTAGACTCACTTCGTTCACACTAAAATGATTGTCTTAATTTGTATGAACATAAACTAGAAAATAGTTTTTATTATTTTGAGTCATCTCCAGTAAACCATAGACATAATTACATGCATTAAAAATCTGACTCTAAAATATGAAAAAAGGTAAGATACGTCACAAAGTATAAAAAATGAGATAGAAATAAGGGTAAGAAGTAGTGACTATTAGTTACGAAGGACTTAGTCATTGTTATAATAGTACTGTCTACCACTTACCTATTTAAAATATTTCATGTTAGAAGACATGGCTGTTGTAAGTGTTTTATTATAGACTCAATAGATGTGTGTTTTTAAAGTTAAATAAAGCTTAATTTATTTACAGCTAATCTTTTAATCTTCAAGTTTAGTCTCAACCAGCATTGTGTGGAGTGGCAGGTTTTAGGGGAACAATAATTAACGTCTTAGTTGACGATTTACATTGACTTTATGTACAAATTTGTTAAAAGAACTTTATTAAAAATGTTGTTATTAATTCATTATTAATCTCGCAGTTGTTTAGGCGAGTAGCTGGCACATAAATTGGAAGTACATACTATTATGGCTTCCATTAAACCTTTTACGATTCAGTGGTTACTTTGATTTCGTTCCAGACACGTTTTGAAATTGAATTCATTTTGTAAATCTTTGTTAGTGGTAGAAACATGTCACGCTAATATATAATTTGTAATGCCACAACATTTTCACTTTAGAAACGGCATAGTGGGATCTTATTCATAAGAACAACTAGGTTCATATGTAAGGAAAGGTATCAAGAAAACAATTTTCGACACTCACACAAAGTTATATCTAGGAATATGAAATTACCCTAGGGATTGATCAATGCAATATTTTTAAAAAGAAGCCTTTGTAGAGCTCGTATAATGGAATAGAAAGCATGGTTTGGAAAATATATCGGTAAATTGACGATAATTGAATATTTCATTATATATCATTATAGACTTCACATGTCTTTTGAAAACTTGCTAGGTTCTCTCAGACATGCAGGTTTCCTCACGATGTTTTCCTTCACCGTTAAGATAAGTGGTATTCAGGTTAGAAACGATTCGCACATGAAAATATCAGAGGTGCGAGACCCGGGATTTGAACTCGGTTCACTCGGCTTCCCAAGCGAGCGCGTTACCACTGGGCTACCACTGCCTTTTTTTATCATAATAGTTATTTTAATTTTTTTATTATGCAACAGATAATAGAAGTTTATTAATTAACTGTGATATTCGTTTCAATAAGAACTAAAGAATAAAAAATATAAAGAAATCAAAGATTTCAAAAATAAAACGAACACTTTGGTGGCCCGAAGTAACTTTGAGTAAAGAGTA